AATTTTATATCGTCCACTTTATCGGTATCTGGGTGGAGCCTATTTTTACTAAACACAGCTCCAAAGAAGTGTATTTCCTTCTGGTCCACAACACACTCAGCGCTGTTGAAACATAAACTTACGGGTCTGGCAACCTTCATGTGGTTGTGAAGGTTTTGATCATCCTTCTCTTTGGTTTGCCTATAAAGTCTATTAGTCCGATTGTCTGTGGACATTGCTCCAGGATCATGTCCATTTTTTGTTGGAAGACATCTTGAGACATTTTATTTTAGAAAGAAAAGGGCCATCCTTTTTTTGGGAAGAGTTCTTCAAGGGAGACAATTTCATATAACGACAATTGGATTCAATTTTCGCTCATATTATTTATATTTTTATTAATCATACTTATTATAAAACCCAGGTTGTGTGTGTGTGCGCGCACGCGCGTGCGTGCGTGCGTGCGTGTGTGTGTGTGTGTGTGTGTGTGTGTGTGTGTGTGTGTGTGTGTCTGTTTCGTTTATATATTAGATCGGATTTCCTACATTTTTCAACCGATTTCAACAAAACTTCACAGGACTACGTAAAATTACCTCGCTGTGGTTCTGACAGCGCCAAAAATTGGAAAAACACAATTGTTTTTTGCACGAAATCAATTTGAAAAGACGATTAAGAGGCATCGCTTTCGCGGAATGAAAGGGGGACAACTCATATCGAGTTATACTTATAAAACCCAGGTTGTGTGTGTGTGTGTTCGTTTATATATGGATCGGATTTCCTACATTTTTCAACCGATTTAAACAAAACATCACTTTTTTTTTGGCAGGTAGTGTTTCTTATTGTCTTGCACACTTTTTTCTTTATTTTTACATTCAGAATGCTTTAAAAATTCCATTTACAAGACAATTGTTTATAATAAAGTTCTATTCAATCGGTAGACTCATAACGATTGAAGACAATGTTTTTGCTTGAGTTTGACCAATTTGTAAAAAAACAAAAAACAAAACAAACAAACAAAAAAAAAACTAATTAAGACATGCGTGTCCGTCAACCTTAAACAATAATCTTTGTCAATTTTATTTTTCAGTCTTTATGATGCTCGATACTTGATCTATCTCTTACTGTTACATCCCCGGGTAACGTCGGCTCTACTGCTTGTAAATATATAAATATATAAATAATAAATAAAATATTGTTTACGTCTAAAAATCGCATTAACTTGTAAAATACAGGAGAATAGCTCATTTAAGGCGAGTAGCTTGTTATGAATAATCAAGAGTGGTCTCCCCTTGTTTTGTTACTCTCCTCTTTGAGAGAGTTATTTCTGTTTACTGGGACTATAAAAGGACACTATATGCGAACCTTGTATTCTCAGTTAAATAAAGATCTCTTAAAGTCTACACCTGAGTACTTTTGTCATTACATAGCTTTTGTACATAAAGTGCTCTTCTTCTATGTGTCGTATCCTTTCAGGACGTTAGTGAACATGGCTCTCCCCAATTTCCTGTCCTTTGTAGCTCTTTATAAATTTTGTCTTTTTGTTATTTCTCTTATATCCTTTTCCACCCTCCATCTACTCAATCTCAATGAATATGCTAATACGCTGTCTTCCTCTGTCTCGCTTGCCTGCCCTGTGAGTATCAGATTTTCCAAGCCCTCCTTCCTCATTATGTGCCTCAACTTCCTGATGTTAAATATAAGTGTTCTTTTTGCTTTCATTTTCTCTAAGAAATAAAAGTTATTTAGAGCTTTTCGGTTTAAAATATCGGAAGTGTGCGTTTTATCTACATTATAATGGTATTTTGTACAAGGTTATTAATAAATTTCAAGCTTAAAAATCTGGAAATTGTACGTATTATAGACAGACAATTACGGTATTTTGCTTATTAATAACACCTATTGGGATTTAAAATCTGGGAAAATGACGTAGTATACACGAATAATTATAGCATTTTGTACAAGCTTATTTGTAAATTTTAGGTTTAAGAATCTGGGTAGTGTGCGTATTATACACCAATAATTGACCTATTTTGAATAAATCCCGATATAAACCATTCCATCACTAGTCCTATTTTTCTGTAAGTTGCGTGGGTTATCCCACTTTAACTTTGCTAAAAACTATACCAAGAGGCACGTGTTTTCTACCTAAATACGCCTAACATTCTGTTATCGCACATTCCATTTCAAATGTATAAACAAAAAGTCGCCCTATCAGTCAAACTTATTTGAAAAAAAATGTCCGTCATAGTAAAAGTAAATTCTACAAGCGACAACTCTATATAGCTTGGATACATTTTATTTTTTTAATTATATATATAATTTTAAATAATAAACGGTTTTTAAAATTTGAATAAACTCCCAACTCTAGCTCACAGTCCCTTCCCTCCTACAGAAGAACGGAAGAAAAGAAAAGAAAAATATGCGTAACGATAGAACCATTTCACATAAAGTGTTTCTGCATGAGCTTCGTACATATATGTCAATGTTAAAAATTAAAACCTACTGGTCTACCACTTACTACTACTGGTTTTCCATTGAGGCAATTAATTTTTCAATCAGAAACCGCGTCAGGCGAAATGTCATTCTTTCCGGATATTGAGTGGTCGTTGAATTGTAATTCACATTGTATTTTATTTACGGTTTTTCCAGTTCTCGTTATTGCAATAAGTTTGTATTTTTTCGGACCGACAATAACTTCAAAAAGGTAAGCGTCTTTTTTTTATTTAAATTTTGGCGAAACAAAAAAAAAAAAAAAATGAAAACACATTATTTTTTTTACTTAATAATTTCTATTTTTTTAAAATTTAATAAAAAAAAAATGATGAAATTTATGACGGTTAAAAAAAGAAAGAGTCAACTATTTTAAATTGTTTGAATATTAATACGAGATTTAAAAACGTCACTTTCTTGTTGGTTGTCTTAACAAAGAAGTGGTTGTAGAAGTTAGTATTTATTTTAAAATAAATGTTTAAATATTGGTTCGTTTTCAGCCATTTAGTTAATTCATTTTTTTTGTAAATTTTCTGTCGCTTAGAAATTTATTTTTGTGTTTAAATAATGGCGCTTTTAAGTAACTTTTTCAACCGATTCAAGAGCATAATTCATCTGCTAACTTAACTGGGAATTATTTGAATGTTACTAATTTTATATACATTTGTTGAAGCAATCCTTTTTTTTTTTTAAGTAAAAGAATAATAAAAATAATAATTGCTTCAACAATTATCAATATCGTTTTAACAAGGACTGATAGCATTTTAACGATGTCCCCTTATTCTTAAAAATACCTTAGCTTAAATACAGTTGCCCTCAAATACAGAGGAAGACACTAGTCTACTTGAAATAAATTGGTTAGTTTACCGTTTACCGGGTACGCTCTAAGGTTGCAGTATGATTCAAGATGGCCGTTATTTATAATCTTTGCTTATTAATTTTTTTTTCTTCAACCATATATTCTCGATTCTTCTGTCACCTTGCAGCGTACCCGGTAAACGTTAGACGAGTGAAATATATTAAACACAAAAAGAAAACGTACTAGATAAGTACCGTGGTCCGTACTGAACTTTTTTTAACGTCACAGAAACACGCAAAGAATTTTTATCAGCAACCACCCCTAACATTGATATTCAAAACCACACAGTACTCACATACACTTCTTGTATTATTTAGGACTGTTGTTCTTGGTTATTATAAACTCAACGTTTCGACCAAATACTATCTGGTCATCATCAGGTGTCTATTGATATGGAATATATTGACTATTGTGTCCTTTGGCGTTGAGGATATCGTTGATTATATATTTAATACTGTTGTCTTGTGGCCGTGAGTTCAATCCCTGGATCAGTTAATGAAGTATCAATTCAACAGGAACGAACAATAGCTGGAGTCACAGGGACAGCATATTGCAATAATCAGCAGATATCTCGTATCAGCTAATTAATGGACACCTGATCAGGCCAGAGGGTACTTGGTCGAAACGTTTTGTCTAAAATAGCATCTATATCAACAGTTGTTCGAAATAATACAATAATATTGACAATTAATCATCTTTGAAAACGTTCCGTACACACTCCTCCCCACTCTTTTGAACAGGAGTAGATGTTTATCCCTTTTTTCCTTTTTAGGATTGTGTTTCTGGTTTTTTCTAAAGTCTACTTCAGCTGCGTACTCCTAACGTCTCCGCCTAAACACTAAATTTCATTTGCTATTTTTATTTTTTCCTCAATAGGAGTCGATAGGTTCGCCTATCGACCGGTTCACACTCCTCTCCGGTTTTTTGAACATGAGTAGAGGTTTTCCTGTTTTTTTATTTTTTTATTTTTTTTTTAAACATTTCACCCCAATCAAGGCAATAAAGCCGCTAGGACGTAAGGGGATGCTGATTGTTAGAAAATATGGGAATAACTGCTATTAAAGAGAGATGACAAAAAAGAACAAGAATTAAGAAAACGGAAGATAAAGATTGATATTGCATTTAAATTTTTGAAGATTAAACTTGACTGGGAAGCAAGAAGCCAGAATAAGGTTCTACAAGCGAGAAGTGCGAGAGAAGAAACTGTTAGCATAGAACTTACGGTTACATTTAGTCATTTTGATTATAATATGATGAGACCTTGTCCCCAATCTAATACTGCGCTTAAATTCATAAAATCTAGGTACCATAGAGGAAAGTTTATCTGAACAATTACCATGAAAGTATTAAAAGGATTAAATGGATATTTTTAAAACTACATATGCACTCAATATAAGGCCCAGTAGCCACTCAAGGCAGAGGATTACTGTGTGGTGTTCTATTAGCGAGAGAAAGGGCAAGAAGTAAAGTCTAAGGGGGCTATGAAGGAACGATAACGGATGAACCTCGGCTTGACGATTAATTTGCTTTCTATGGTTTATCAATACTTAGCAAGTTATTTAAAGCCAATAAATATTTCTACATTGTGAGAATTTTTATTTTTTTTTTTAAAGATAATAATGATTTAGTTAACAATTCCAAGCCATTATCGATTACGCCACATTCACTTCAAAGTTTACAGCACCTGATATTTCCAAATGGTCACCCATCTAGGTACTGACCAGGCTCAACGTTGCTTAACTTATCGAGATAGTACGGGAACCGGTGTTTAAACGTGATGCTATCGTAAGCCATTTCTACCAGCGCCTCCATGCTTACAGCACCTGGTATTCCAAAGCGGTCACCCATCTCATCTATGTATTGACCAGGCTCGACGTTGCTTAACTTGGATGATCGTACAATCTAATAATAATTCGAGTCTGGTTGGTACGTAAATGGGTGATTACTTTGGAATACCAGATGCTGTAAGCTCGGATGCCCGGATGATGAAAAGAATAATGGCTCGGAATTATGAATCGTAGTTGCGACAAGTTCCAATTCCCGTTGGGTTCGTTATATTCACTTACGTGCAAATATCCTTGGGGAAAGGCATGAATCCACCGCTTTTATCTCCCCAGATATTGGTTAATTAATAAGACTTAATCATTCTAATCTCAAAAAAGAAAAAAAAAAAAAGGAAATATTCATCAATCAACCAAAAAAGGGTCTGTAATATTAACAATCCTGACCAAGCATCTCGACTTCAGTCACCTTCTCACCGACGTGACATGGCGTCCCTCTGTCTTTTCTACAGATATTTTACTGGCGACTTTTCCGATGCGGTTTTTTTTCGCCTGATGTTTCGACTGCATGAATTTAATATTAGTAACTAGGCCCCACCATTTTAACGGTTGATCTCGCTAGATGCAACCGCCAGTTATAATCTAACAGTTTCTTTTTTCATACTTATCATCTGTGGAACTCCCTTCCGACTTCTTGCTTCCCTGACAACTACAATCTTTAAATGCAACATGAATCGTCATCTTCTGTCTTCTTGAACCATGTTCCTTTATTGTCCTTTTCTTGAACCTCATCACTAAAGTCTGCCATTCTCTTTCACTCCCTGTAACTTCTTGCTTAATGTGAAACGATTAATAAAATAAAAATAAAAAAAGGTTTAAGGGTTAACATCTTTCTTTATCTGTCATTACCGTTTTCTTTAGTCAGTAAGAAAATAAATATTCCTCGATGAAATGAATGTAAAGTCGTTAGGACTTATTTATTTTATGAATAGCTTGCAAGACCAGTTTGTTAAACAGAAAAGACAGCACTCAATAGCACTGAACTCATTCGTCTTAATATATTTATTCTTTGTAATTCTTTTCTTATTTATTTGTTAGAAAAGCCCTAGAGATCTTTTCTCGGTGTCCGGAAACAGTTTTAATCATAAAGAAAAAGTCACGTAGTACGCTTTTTTTGCTTTTTTTTTTTTGCTTTAAAAAAAAGTCTCCTGAACTTCGTCTTGAGTGTAGGAAAAAAAAAAAAGGGTAAAAACTAAATATCTAATTAAGATTAGGTAGTATTTTTATTAATTTCTGTCCGAATCTCTTGGATGGGGAGCTATTATTATTTGCTCTACTTATATTAGGACTGTTGTCCTCATTTTTGTTGAAAAGCCGCAGTGAGGAGTGAGACAACGGAATCGAGCATGGCTGATCATGTGTGGAGGGAAAGGGGAAGTCGTCTCTGCAATGAAGTGAAAAAAAACTAGACAAGTAATAACCCTGGAGAGTTAGACGTCTGAAAGTATCAGCGCATATGCTAAGCTATGGAGACTTCCTTATCAGGCCTAGCATAGAAATAAATACAATATCGGAGCCGTTAATAAAGAAAGACAAATGTCAGCAAGTCTTCAATCGCAACAGAAATCAAAACATGGACAACAGCAACAATAGTTAAAAGATGACAGAAAGCAGCAGCTGCAACCTTAATCAGCAGACAGGTTAGGTTTAAGGATTCAAGTTCACTACAGCAAATTAAAAAAATAGCCTAGTGGATTAAAACAATGTTTTGCGAATTTGGTGACCCAGTGATTGTGAGTTCAATCCCTGTGTCGAGCAGTGAGAAGTACCAAATAAAAATAAACAACATTAAAATATCACTAGACATGTGTAGTCTAGAATAGTCTATCCCTCCCTCTCTCTCTATCTATCTCTCTCTCTCTCTCTCTATATATATATATATATATATATATATATATATATATATATATATATATATATATATAAGAAAAGAGGTTGTAGTGGTTACAACGAGAGAAAAGTATGTATATTAAAGAGAAGAGAGGTGCCGCGAACGTTTTTGGTTTTAATGTGTTTTTTTTTTTTTTTTTTTTTTTTTTAGAAAAAATATTTTTATTTTCCATAATTTTACTACACGGGTTTCTGGTCTCGTGACCGTCTTCAGTTAAAAGGCGGAGATTTCCACATATTATTGAGAATAATTAATTTTTTCCTTATGTTTTTCAATGTTAAATATTCTCGATATGAGACATTCTCTGTTTTTGTGTTAGTAATCCGAATGTTTTTCTGGAATTGCGCGAATTGGCAGTTCTGCGCGAAGGGTCATAAAACAATTAAAGTTGGTCCAAGCGAAATGATGAATTACTTATCGGCATTTTATATTTTAATGTTTTACTGACCCCTATGTGTTCTTGGATCTGTTTCCATTTTCGTGTGTTTCTGTCAGCATGCGTGTATATATGCGTGCGTATATTCCCCCTCCATACATATACTGTCTTACGACGAGGAATTAGTAAACTCATTTGTACACATACACACATACATACACATACGCACCGTCCCACCACAAGGAATCAGTACATACACACACACTTCCCAAGCTACATGGAACCAGTATACACACACACATACGTACATACATACACACGTACTTCCTAAGTCGTGTGGGGTTTGTGTGCGTGCTCGTGAGTAGTTCCTCTGTTTTGTCAACATGCGTGTATATATATATATATATATATATATCTTCGTGTCTTCCGTATGTGAGTGTGCGTTCATGTGAGCGTGCATGTATGTGAGTGATTTGATCACTGTATTTTGTCACCTTGTGTGCTTTTACGTGTGGGGTTATGACCTATTTAGTTCGGGTTTAAATTCGTTTATAAAGTTTTTTTTCTTGTATTTGTAGGTACGAATAATCGTCTGTTTGATATATCGGCATGATTAAACTTACCCTAATTACATTTGACGATGTCTTTTGATACAAAAAGTTTTCTGTTGTCTGGCAATTTTATATTGCTTTTGTGTAGGGAGACCCTGTTGTTCAGTTGTTGGCTGATCCCTATATATGACTTCTTACATTTTGTGCTATTAAGTACATAAATTACATTTTTGGAGTTGCAGTTTAAGTTTTTATTTATTGTGAATGTTTTTTTTGTGGGGGACTTTCAAAGTGTAGGAGGTTCATTATAGATGGAAACTCCTGCAACGCCCTTGATTATTATGCGTGGTACTCGCTTGAGCGATAGACCAATAAAACTCCTCGTAACACCAAAGATGAATTGAAGGCAAGGATTATGGCAGCATTCACCAATTTAAACAAGGAGACAATCCAGAAGAGATTCAAAAGATTCCAAAGTCGTCTGTATGCTGTGGTTTAAGTCAATGGCTATTTTATTGAATAAATTTACTCTTTAGTATTTCAAGATATTTTTTGTGTAATTTTGGTAAATATATCTGTTAAAATGAGATGTCAGTGTGATTTTCCTGTCTGCGTCATTAGAAGACAATTTATCCATCGCGCCTTGTACACACACACACACACATATATATACATACACACACACACACACATATATATATATATATATATATATATATATATATATATATATATATATATATATATATATATATATATATATATATATATATATATGTAAGAAATATAGTCTTAAGGTGTGCTATATTTATGGGATAAAGTGCTCAATATCAGAGATAGAGCGTGTGTAAATATAAAAGTGAACATTGAGGTAAACACTTAGAAGCAACAGGCTGTTTCATGCTAGATGCAATCATCAGGCCACGAGTGTTCTTTTTTCTCGACTATATATACGGGTCAGTGGTGCATTGTGGGTAGCCTATTTTGGCGGTTATTTTGCCGGAAGTAAATAAATAAATATATAAGATAAGAAATAAAAATAAAAAATAAATATAAACAAGGTAAATAATTCAACCCAAATATATAAATAAATAAACGACTTCCGACAAAATAACCGCCAAAATAGACTACCCACAATGCACCACTGGCCCGTATATATAAATAATCGAGAAAAAAAAACAACACTCGTGGCCTGACGATTGCATCTAGCATGAAACAGTCTGTTGCCTCTGTGTTGACTTCAATGTTCACTTATATATCTTAGTATGTGCGTGTGTGTAAAATCATTCAAATTAATTCATTGATTCTGAAGGTCTTCATTCTAATCACCTAAAAGTCGTAAGTCATCTCGCAACAAATTGCTCTCCAACAACAATCTCGTCCATTTATCATTTTGTACCACCGCTTTTAAAACATTCAGCTATGATCAATGGGAATCTTTTTTTATTAAGCGAAAATATAAAAAGGATAAAACCTACTATTCTTTTCGGATTTAGAAAAGGTCTAGCATCAGCATATGAAACTATGTAATCTTGGAGACCGATGTTTGGTACCCGAAAAGCCTTTCAGACGTTAAAATAGCATATAGCCAAATGTATTACCACTGCATATAAAAAATTGGTTGCCGTTTCGAAGTTTAAAAAGTTGGGCTCGAGGATCATTTACTTCTGAATAGTGAGTTCCCTATAACTCTTGTCTTTTGTCAAAGCTAAAGTTAGAAATTCATACAATCTCGATAATACAACGAGAACAAATACGAATTCTCAAGGACACATGGCCCAGTGGATAAAATCGTTGGTTGAAATAATCCTGTGACTTGTTCCAAAGAGCTGTGAGTTCAATACCTGGCTACAGCAGAGGTGAACAATAACGCGGAGTGTTGAGTTAAAGGGGATAACTTATACCGAGACACCCGGAAGAGGTATGGCACTTGGAACTAGAACAATCTACCACGGTGGAAGAAATAAAGGATTCGGTTCGAAATTTCAATCACCTGAAGAAGGCCGGAGCGTACAACGGCCGAAACATCGTGAATATTCAATATCTGGCTGCAGTGTTACTAAAGCGAATTAACTGAAACTGAGATATCCAGAAAAGGTATGGCACGTGTAACTCGAACAATCTA